AATATATCTTTATTGATTTCAGAGAGAGGAAAGGAGAGGGAGAGAGAGCGATAGAAACATCAATGATGAGAGAGTCATTGATCGAGCCGGCAACCCGGGCATGTGCCCCGACCGGGAATTGAACCCGGATCACCTAGATCCCAGGTTGATGCTCAACCGCTGAGCCCTGCCTGGCCAGGCAACACAGANGGCAACCCGGGCATGTGCCCCGACCGGGAATCGAACCCCGATCACCTAGATCCCAGGTTGATGCTCAACCGCTGAGCCATGCCTGGCCAGGCAACACAGGNCAGGTTGATGCTCAACCGCTGAGCCCTGCCTGGCCAGGCAACACAGACACCTTCTTAAAGAGCCAACACAGAAAGTTTTGTGTGCAGCCACTCATCTTGGGTTCAAGCAGAGGGAAGGCAGAGTGGACTGAAGCTGTGTGAGGACAACCTAGGGTTGTGGGCTCTGGAAATAGAGCTCAGAGGGCACTCCTCTGGATTCCTATGCCCAGTCATCATTACCCCACACTGCAGAGGAAGACATTTACCTTCCAAGCAGCTTTGACCTGGGGGGGAAGCAATTGCCCCACCCTGCTGAAAAACCTCTGGCTCCACCCTGTGGAGTTTCTACAGTCCGAGGCTCATTAAGAGACTGAATAACAACCTCTGGGTGCTTTGAATTTTTACCTGATCTTCTTCTGGACCCGGACCTTGGAAAAGCAGACCTTGGTGGACATCTTGGCCATGTCCAAACACACCCAGCCCCAGCAAAGGGAACCACAAGCTGTGGAGTGTGGAAAACTTCAAACAAGGTACTCAAGGCCAGTCACAGTGTCTGACATTGGCCTGCACCAGAAACCATCCAAAAGACTAGGAGTCCTAGCAGATCCACTTAATACATAGAAACAAACCCAAACAGACAGCCAAAATGAGGAGGAAAAAAAACAAGTCCCAAATGAAAGAACAAGAGAAATCTCCAGATGAAGAGCTACATGAAATAGAGATAGGCAACCTCTCAGATATAGAGTTCAGAATACTGATCATAAGCATGTTCAACAGCATGAGAAAAGATATGGAAACTATGAAGGAAATTAAGAATGACATAGTAGAAAGTTACAAAAAACAACACTGGAAGGAATGAACAGCAGATTAGAGGAAGCTGAGGATCGGATCAGCAAATCAGAAGACAGAGTAGAAAAAATCATGCAATCAGAAAACCAAAAAGAAAAAACAATTAAAAAACAGGAGGACAGTCTAAGGCAGCTGTGGGGCAACATGAAACATGACAATATTCACATCATAGGAGTGCCAGAAGAGGTCCAAAGTAAGTAAGGGTTAGAGAACCTATTTGAAGAAATAATGGCAGAAAACTTCCCTAACCTGGTCAAGGAAAAAGGCACACAAGTTCAGAAGGCACAGAGAGTCCCAAGCAAGAAGAATCCAAAGAGGCCCACGCCCAGACACATCATAATTAAAATGCCAAGAATCCAAGACAAAGAAAATATTAAAGGCAGCAAGAGAAAAGAAATCTGTTACCTACAAAGGAGCTTCCATAAGGCTGTCAGCTGATTTCTCATCAGAAACTCTACAGGCCAGAAGGGAATGGCATGAAGTATTCAAGATAATGAAAAGCAAGGATCTGAAACCAAGACTACTCTATCCAGCAAGACTATCAAAATAAATGGTGAAATAAAGAGCTTCCCAGAAAAGAAAAGCTGAAAGGAGTTTATCACCACCAAACCAGCACTTTAAGAAATGTTGAAGGGACTGCTGTAATTAGAAGTTGAAATAGAGAGAAACATAGGCATAAAGAAATAAAATGGAAATAGATAAGTACCTATAAATAATAACCTTAAATATAAATGAATTAAAGGTTCCAATCAAAAGACATAGGGTAGCTGAATGGATAAGAAAACATGACCCAAATATATCCTGTCTACAAGAGACCCACCTCAGAAAAAAAGACTCACACAGGCTGGAAAACAACAACAACAACAACTTCTGGAGAACTTTAAGGGGGAGGTCAACAGCAATACAGTCACAGTAGGGGACTTTAACACCCCACTGACTTTACTGGATAGATTTTCCAGACAAAAAATCAATAAGGAAATGGTGACTCTAAATGACACACTAGATCAGATGGATTTAATTGACATTTACAGAACATTCCATCGCAAAGCTGCTGAATATACATTCTCCTCAAGTGCACATGGGGCATTCTGAAA